ACGATGTTCTATTACAGGTTTCCCCCACCCTTTCTTTAAAGATGTTCGAAATTGGGAACTCAGAAAAATACCCCTGATGACCACCTCTGCCTCTGCAGAGTGGGTCCAAAGACTGACACAGGAGGTCTGAGAGTGCGGGGGCGGGGGATGACTTATGGGGGTTCAGGGGTGCCCATGCGGCCACCTTCCTGGTGCTTGAGCGATGGTGGCTGGGTCGGGAGCAGGCGTGGTTCTCCTTCCTGCGGTGGATGGTGGATCGGGGCCCAGGCTGCCTCCCGGCTCTTGAGTGATGGTGGCTGGGTCGGGAGCAGGCGTGGCTCTCCTTCCCACGGTGGATCGGGGCCCAGCCTACCTCCATCTTATTTCTTTTTATTTCCCTCACCCTCCCCTTCTCTCTGGACTATTTTTAGTATCTCTGTGTCTTTATTTCTACAGTTTTACTATGACCTACCTAGGTGTGAATTTCTTTTCACCTTTTCTATTTGCAGCTTGTAGGATACTTAAACGCAAGGGTTGTTGTCTTTTACTAGTTGTAGGAAATTCTGTCATTATGCGTTTCACATGTTGCTTTTACCCCTCCCTTCCTCCTCTTCTTTCTACTTTCCTGAAAGTTGTTTGCTAATAGTCCAGTCTTTTCACTCCAGTCAAGGTCTTCTTCATAGCTTAGAGTGGCTGTATGTGTGGTTATTCCCAGGCCACGGCTCTCAGGACAGAGATGCGACCCTTTGCTGCACTTCTCCGTGATCAGCTGAAGAGGGATGGTTAGGGCAGTAATCAGGCTGGGCTTGGTGCTGAGTGGATGCTGCAGGCCCTGAATTAGTGCCAGCAAGGAGGCACCTGTGGGCCGGGAACACCCAAAACTCTGGCTGGTCTGGGAAGGAAGAATAAACCTTGCATATATGTGAGCCATCTTGTGTTTTAGGTATTTGATGTTTTTCAAATCGTTGGACTACCTTAATGAATCCATCTACTAATAAAAAACTTAAAAAATTAATCTCTTATAATTCTTAAAACCAGATTTATTGATATATAAACCATATAATCATTTAAAACAATTTCATGTTTTTCATATATTGATTTTTAGAAATTAAGGTAAAATGTATAAAATACAAAAATTCACGTTAACCATTTTAAGTGCTAATTTAGTGGCATTACTTACATTTGTCAGATTGGGCAATCATCATCATATTCAAAACTGTTACCCAAAGAGAAACTCTGAAACCACTAAGCAGTGACTCTTCTGTCCCCTCTCTTTCCAGCCCCCTTTAGCTACCCACCTATTTTCTGTCTCTATGATTTGCCTATTCTAGCTTTTTTGAGTAAGTGGAATCATGCGATGGTTGCCTATTTCATTTAGCAGAAAGTTTCCATTCATGGCCTACCACATATCAGAAATTCTTTCCTTATTATGGCCAGATAATGTTATTATTATGTACACACACACATGAACATATCATATTTTGTTTATCCATTCACCTATTGATGGACATTTAAATTATTTCTACTTTTGGCTATTGTGAATAACGCTGCAAGGACAAACACTTATCTGTTTGACTTTCTGCTTTCAATTCCTTTGCTTGTATAACTAGGATTGGAATTCCCGGGTCATGTGATAATTGTGTTCAGCTTTTTGAGGAAAAATGTTTGCCAGACATTACCATTGCAGCTGCAGCATTTTACATTTCTATAGCAATGTATGAGGGTGCTGATTCTACACACATGTGCAAACACAATTTTCAGTTTTTAGAAATTTCTCATTCTAGTAGGTGTGAAGTGTTATTTCATAGTTTTAATTGCATTTTCCTAATGACTACTAATGTTGAGCATCTTTTCATGTGATTCTTGGCTACTTGGATACCTTCTTCGAAGAATGTTTATTCAATCCCTTTCCCATTTTTACTGGGGGTGTTTGTCTTTTTTGTTTGTTTTTTGTGGTGTTGGGGATTGAAACCAGGGCCTTGCACATGGTAGGCCAGGGCTCTACCGCTGGGCTGTGGCTCCAGCTATTCCTGCCTCTTTTTGTTTTTTGGGGGGTCTCACTATGTAATCCAGGCTGGACTTCACCTCACAGTCCTGTTCCTGTCGCCCGTGTTCAGGGACCTAAAGTGCACACCACCACACCCATCTTTTTCCTGTTGTGTTGCAGGAGTTCTTTGTGTATCTGGATATTAGGCCCTTATCAGAGATATGATTTCCAAATATTTTCTTCCACTCTCTTGTGTTTTCCTTTTCCTTATAATGTCCATTTATACACAAATTTTAAAAATTTGATGAAGCCCAATTTATCAAATTTTTTGCTGTTTAAATTCTTTGTTCTTTTTTTCTTTCATCCTTGATCATTGTTTTGCTACTTTTCTAGTACACTAATTCTATTATTTGTATTTTATGAGCTATTAAAACTGTCAATCAAGGGTTCAATTTCAATAGCTACTACTTTTAGTTTATAGGATTAAGTATATTCAAAAAGTTTTTTAATTCATTAAGGTTT